GATTTTCCCTCTGGCTTATACATTTTTATCGTTATTATTCTTTGCATCATGGTTAGTAAGGGCCCTTCTCAGGATGACTGTTAACATATGAAATAGGCATGGTACAGTCACCAACCAATCTGAATGGACACTGGCTATCCATACCTGGTTCGGCAAGTGTGCTTACTGGCTGCTGATCAGCATAAGTATTGAACTGATCTCTGTAAAACCCAAAGTTTTAATATGGTGTTTTGCATATAATAGACACACTCATATATGGTACTAATAAACTTTGGAAACATAAGAAAGATAGCATATGTGATGGAAAAAATAAGGCAGCAAGGTCACTTATTTGTGGAATGAATTATTGGATGCCATGCTAATAGCTGTTATTATACTCTAATTAATTTAGGATCTTCCATAATGGTTTCATATCTTTTCTTTAAGAGTAGAGCCTAGTAAATTTCTAGAATGTTTGAGGTTTATTTGTTCTGGAAACTGAATTTCCATTCTTACTGAAACTAGATTGAATTTTACAAAGATATTTAAAATAAATAATTTATTAGGGTTATTTGTTCTTTAAATGCATACAGCAAAGAAAGTTAAACTTCATGGGAAGCTGTGATTGTAATACTTGTTAAAGATGATGAACACCTGGTTTAGGAGACTTAATGGAGCAAGGCAGCTACTACATGGATGCTCACTGGCAAAAATAACAGTATTAAATATACCCATCTTAACTAAAGGAAGGGCCAGCTAGCTTATCTTAAAAGACGTAATTAGATGTTTTTAGTGTAAATTGGGAAAACGCTTGAAAGTCTAATTGGTTTGATTTAATCTTTAAAAAAGTGGTCTTGTATAGCTCTCATTGTCAACAAATACACAGTATTTTATCAATCCTGAATAATAATCACTTCTTTGGATGGGATCCAAATTACTCTGTCTCACATATACTTTCAATTTAATAATAGCTACAACTTAAAGGATGTTAACTTTATGCCAAACACAACACGTATTTTCACTTTTCATTATGCACTTAATTAAATTGTGGAAATTCAACAATTGATTAGTGGAGATAGTCCAAAATAGTATTACTGTTTTTTACTACAACTTAGGTGGGATACCCAGAACCTTTCATAGATCTTACATTCTGACCAATTGAACTAATCTCATGCAGGGATTAAACTTTATGAGCAACTTCAATAAATAAAGTAAAACATTATTAGATAAAATGTCTAAGTGGAACTTTTTTTTCAAATCAGAAGCAGAATAAATAGACTTGCTTAATAGTAAGAAGAAGGACATGGCTATTTAACAGTAAAAATACTCAATAACATTCTCAACAGAAAATTGCAACCCCATAAAACATTACTTTTTACATTCTGAGCCCTATAAAGCAAAAACAAGAATAAAAATTTTATGTGAACAAACTATCTAAAAGCGAGTACTTAAAATCTATTATATACTCTGGATTAACGTATGCTATCCTAAAGCATATCTTTGTAGATGAGTATTTCTTAGAGTGGACTAATATGTTCATTAAACCAAGTGCTGAAATGATTAAAGTAAGTACTTAAGATGAAGTGGAACATTTCAAGGACCTATAATTTCAAGAAAACTGTGCTTATCTACAGAGTCACAGTTTTTCTGATGTCCTGGTGAAGGATTGAATGGAGGAAAAACACAATCAGGAAACTATATATTTTGTCTAAAAACAAACTGAATTGACTCATTTGTTTTTTTCCCGCATTAAATTGGCTGTTTATGTTCACTGGCAATAAAAGGAAGTAGAGGTAATTCTTTGGATCACTCAAAACAAACAAAATACAGATTATACATATATCTCAAGTACAACATAAAGTTAATGCTATGTTTCTATGTGGACAAAACAAAATCTTGCACTTTAAATAGATGTCTTCTACACACATGTATACAGGGAAGGAACTGTCCAGGGGTGGTGGGATAGGGGAAGGGTAGCATTAAGAGAAATACCTAATGTAGATGCTGATGGGTGCAGCAAACCACTATGGCACGTGTATACCTATGTAACAAACCTGCACGATCTGCACATGTACCCCAGAACTTAAAGTAAAATAAATGTAAAAATTAAAAAATGCTAAAATAAAAAAATTGATGTGTTCTCCTATCTGCAGAGAGCAAATAAATTCTTAATCATTTTCTCCCCACTCTGTTTATATATTCTTATTTAAAATTGTTTCTGAAAGTTTAATATTATTGCAGTTTCCTTCTCCATATTATTAACTATCTTTTATATTTCTCTTATAGAGTGACTTTTGCCCAATTCATATAGATATGTAGATTATAAATTTGATTATTGTCAAATATTAATAACTCAGTCAAAAACAACTTATCCAAAACGTTGCTACCAAAAGGGCACTTGACTATAAATGACTCACATTATATTACATATTCCATCTTGTTCCCATCCTCAACCCCCGGCCCTCTGCTCAATAACTAATCTGAGATCAACTGTTGATCAGGGTCAGTTCACTAAAGGGGAAACATACTGACTCACAAGTTTAAACAAAACTAAAGTAGCCTCTGATTGGCTCTTTCTTAGAAAACAAGCATGTTTTGTGTGGGACTGACATGAAAGAAGAACGCAGTATTAGGATGAACAATTTCTGTTCATTGACAGCTGTTAACATTTATACCAAAACAATTTTATTTATAAACTTTAGGATTAAAGAAAGGTAAAATTAAGTAGCTAAAACTATGCATGAATTGCTTTTCTATATATTTAAAATCTAGAGTAATATGAAGATCGACAGCTGCCAATTGTATAGGTAATCATATTTGTTATTCATTTACTCAACAAACATTGTCTAAGTGACTCTTTGGGCAAGACTGTCTGCTAAGTGCTGGGATACCAAGATGAGTAGGCCCTATCTCTGATCTGAGAATTGTTCAGTCTTATGGGGAAGACAAAAATAGAAATAGGTAATTTAAATCAAGGAACAATGATAAAATACACAAATTTTGTGAACTGCGTGTGTTAAGAGCATAGCAGGAAAAGGAGGCAAAACGGGGCAGAGGGTGAATTAAGTGCAGTGCATACGTAGTTTGATGTATCCGTGTAAAATATTGTGCTGGCCCTATACTTATGTGCTCTCAGGTGCATTCTTCAGTCTTTTCCTTGTTTACTTCTCAGAGTAGCTGCCCTGTACACTGTTTCCCAGACTTCTCTGTCAACTGGCTTCCAGTTGGATTTAATCAGGCACTGGCAGAGATTGGGGAATGGGAGGAAGAGAGAACCAGGATTTCTCCCCATCCTTGTCTGTCTCAGGATATATTTCTGGCATTGACTCAATCTCTTTCATGTTTCTTGCTCCCAGCAAGCAGGCTTGTCCTGATTTCAGCTCTCACTGTCCTCTAGCCTATGGTGACAGTAGCTTTTTCTGCTGCTTTACTATCCCCTATTTAGTTTCTCTGCTCTTTTATGAGTATATAATCAATTGCTAATCATTTGTTTCCTCTATTTTATATATCTGGAACAGTTTCTATTTTCCTGGTTGGACACAAATGCCTGACAGACTGAGTCTAAATTCCAGGAGTTTGGGACAAATCAAAATATACGTGAGAGTTCATGAGCATATACAGAGATAGGGTAGGTAAAAGGATTGGTGGGCTGAGGGTGGAACTCTGTGGGGTATACAGCAACAGATAAAGGAAGCATAGCCTTTGAAGGAGTTCAAAGATTAATTTATAATTTTGAGTAGAACAAGAAAAATGTGGCATTCACTTAAGCCCCCAAGAAAACCTAGGTATCACTTAGACCCAGCATTTCTCAGATGAGGTTTCTGAAGATAGAGAAATGAGGTCACATATCTAATAAAGACCAGAACTGAAACCTAAACCTATTTCCCTGTGTAGTGTTCTTGTGATAACACACCCATCATCACTCTAATAGTGTGACATTTCATGTCATTTTCACGTGTTCTGACCTTGTTCTATGTGTGCACTTCAGTTTCCTTTTATATAAAGCTAATATATGTTATTATTTACCTCATAGGTAATTAGAATAAACTACTTAGAATAGTTAAATGTATTGAGAGAGGTTGGAACAATGGATGAAGGACAATACAGCTACCAGATTTTTTATTTTTTTGAGATGGAGTCTTGCTCTGTTGCCCAGGCTGGAGTGCAGAGGCACGATCTTGGCTCATTGCAACCTCTGCCTCCAGGGTTGAAGCGATTCTCCTGCCTCAGCCTCCTGAGTAGCTAGGATTACAGGCATGTGCCACCACATCCAGCTAATTTTCATATTTTTAGTAAAGACGGGATTTTACCATATTGGCAGGCTGATCTTGAACTCCTGACCTCATAATCTGCTCACCTTGGCCTCCCAAAGTGTTAGGATTTCAGGCTTGAGCCACAATGCCTGGCCAGGGCTACTAGATTTTATCACAGTATTATGAAAAATAAGCTAGTCATTGCATAGCTTATAGATATTCTTTTTATATGTTTGCTGAAGTTAAGGATTTTTTGCATTTGGTAGTAATTTACTATTTGTTTAATAAAACCAAATTTGAAATTAGTATTTTTAGAAGTTAGTTTAATAATTAATTCTTCTGTAAAAGGATTTTCACACCATTAATTTCTTCTCAGCTTCATGTATTTAAGAATTTCCATGGACTTAAATGAGGTTCCATGATTGATTTTCTATTTGCATGATATTTTAAATAAAATACATATTTTTAATTTCAAGATTTCCCTCCCACCTGGGGAAAGTCTTCTGAGTCTTTTTGTGTCATCTTCTCATTCTCTCTCTTTTAATTTTTCAGTACCTCAAGGTACTTCAAAGTTAAACACAAATGAGAAAATTGGGAAATTGTTAAATGAATACAAAGTCATTTAATAGATGATGATGTCTTACTACCTATTGCTTTTACCATTAGTTTGTAACATTTAAATTCATGTTAAAAGAAAAACAACTACTCAACGCTTATACTGTAGAATGTAGATTCAGCTAAAATCCAATATTGAAAATTTGTTCTTACCTTCTGAGTCTGCTAGTCCTACTCCTACCCCTGGCTGTTTTACAGGCTCTTGTCCATTCTGTCCCATCTTCCCTCTGTTTAAAAATAAAACAAAATGATGTATTCAGTTATGATCTCATGAATTCAAAGGAGGCTAAGTTTGCATAAATAATATTACATTGAAAGTAATGGCAAAAACTGCAATTGTTTTGTACCAACCTAATATTTTTGGACTTGCAGTAAGTATTTGAATGGCACATATGCACAGAGTTAACTGCTCCATATCATCATTTTAAAATGTGAACTTGTTTATTATTCCTATTCAGGCCAAACAATATTCCTCAAAATTTAGTAATTTTTATTTGTAGGCTCATTTATCAAAAAATAAGACTGTCATGACATTTCCAAATTTTGTTTTAGAATTTTTTATATATTTCTAACTCAAAAATGATAAAGGGCTTTATATTTTTATACGTCGTATTGATGAGTTATTCTAGGGTTTTTTGGTGAGAAAAGCAATATTGAATTAAATAATATATAAAAATGATACTGTAATAGAAGATTTCTTATTTCATGTATTTTATTTTATTTTATTTCAATTCTTTCCTATTTTCTGCTGTCTTGCAGAAACTGGCTTTTGTAGTCAGCCAGATTGCTTGGTCTCCACTCCTGGCTTTGCTATTTCTTGCTGTGTGTAATCTAAGGCAAAGTACCTGGTCAAAACTGTTTCTCCTTTTGTAATATAAAGATAATATTAGCTACATTTGTTTACAAAAAAAATTTCATCAAAAATGCATTAAAAATGTTTAACAGAGTGTCTGATAAATAATAGGCATTCAATAAACACAGCATATTAGTAGGTAGGTATCCTTATAGTAGCCTTAGAATTCAGGCAAAATCTGCTAATCACTTTTAGTTTTCAGCTTCAAACTTTTTTGTAAAGTCAACTAGATGAAGAATTCACGATATTTTGAGCATTGTAAGTTAAGAATGTTAATAATTTAACAGCTAAAGAACTGTAGGACACTTTTTATTTCTTCAGCTAGAGAAAAAGCTACATGGCACGTGAAAAAGTTTGGAATTTGTCTTTATATATACTTAGATGAGGTGTTTCAAAAAGATGGAATAAAAACTTAGGTGTTACAGAAGGATGCTTGAACAGAAGAGCATCTTGATGCTGGACTTTGTAGACAACACTTCTAGCATAGCAGGATTTACGAACAATTAAATCTAACTTTCATAGGACGTATTTGTGTTTGCCGGACCTGCTGAAAAGGTAACTGTATTTATTTCTTAAAAATCCAATTATATCTTAGTTGAAAACTGCTCTAAAGGTCCTCTTATTCTACTTCAGAGAAGGTGCTAAAATGTTTCTGCACATAATATAAGAGGAACATGTAAATTCAGAAATTATTTTATCTCAAAGGCCATTACATTGTTCCATTATGATAATTCTAGGTTAAAGGTTTAAGCACAAATTTTTAGTAAGTGTTTATATGAGGGACCAAGTTCACGCAAATTAAGCAATTTCCAACATTTCTGTTTTACCATATGTATGCTTAAGCATGATCTGCATGGTTGACATCTGCATACATATTTAAACAATGCACAAAACTTTAGCTATGGAATTGCTTCATCAAGATTCAAGACAAGTAATTAAATAAAAAAAAATAAATAAAAAAGAACTCTGTTCTGTCTGTTAGCATTAGAGAAGAAAAAAACTTAATAGCAGCAATCTTACTTTTATCATGTTACACTGGTAGAGAGAGCCAAAACATAACTTGTTACTGAGCTACACTCAATTGAAAGTGAAGGTCTTTTAAGTATTTCTGATCTAGTAGATTAGAAAGAATACTAAAAAAATTAATACTCTTAATACTATCCAAGGCTTTTTAAACATAGTTATTATAAGTCTCCGTAATTGTAGTAAAACTACGTTTTGATAATTTTTTGCTTTGTTCTTGACTCTTAGACTTCATATGTTAATGGTGGTATCCAGCTAGTCTTTGCTTTCAATCAAAACCATTTTTAACATAGATACTTAGCCAATATGTGTAGCAAGTACATTTTGAAGATTATACAAAAAGCTTTTGCAGTATTGGGAAGTTAAATTAAGTGTGAAGGAAATTTAACGGGGGGTCATGTGAAGAGTGTGGTTTCTCTGAATTCTTAATGACTACTCTTCAGCTCAGAAGATTTTGGCTATACATTTTATAATTTATAAACAACCACTAAATATTTATTAAACACTTTTTCCTAGTCAAGCAATAATTGTGTTAGATATAATGGGGCATATAAAAGAACTATCAAATACTACTTCTCACACATATTCTATAAAGGTTTTCAAAAGTAAATGTTTGTTGTGCTCATATGGCAAAGAAAGAATCTCCTAGACAGTTGTGAGAAGCTTTGATTTACAAGAGAAAAAGGAAAATGGGAAAAAACAAAATTGGAATGTGGCATATATATAGAAAACACATAATTTACTTATCCTTCAGATATTGACAAATTAACATAGTTTACTCTTTGGAAGTTATAACTTTATCATCAGTGTTAAATTACATATTTTAAAAGGTGCAGAAAAATTGGAAGGATAACAAATTATGTGTGGTTCAAAACCTTTATAAATTCATGACATTTACAGCTTAGTGAGAAATGTAATGAATTTGTAGAAATTCTTTTATGTTAAATTGAATTATCAGAAGTCAAAGACCAATGGGATTAGATTCCTTTTAAAAAGAATTTCCAATAAAATAGAACTGATTAATTATAAATAACTCTATTGAATCCACAGACTAAGTCTCATGAAAGAAAAGAAAGCAAAGTTAGACAGGTGCTACAATAATAATTTGCTTAATTTAAATTAACAAATAGAGTTTGAAACAACAGAATGAACAATTTTTTTACTGTAAAAATCCATTTTCCCTATTGCTTTGCTTTTATAAAGTGAAACATTATCAAAATATTACAACTATTGTGGACATAAAAAAGATTTATAAAAACCTTTATTTTAAAACAAAAAGAAATAGAAAATCTACCCCATGAAGTCTTCACTTAGCATTGGAAAAAAAAAAAAAAAAAAAAAAAGACCCTTTCACAACCCAGATCAGAGTTCGCAAGCTCTGCAAAGTGCTACTTAGTAAATATTTTAGATGAGCTCTGTTCTACAGACTTAATTCTGCTCTGTAGCACAAAAGTTGTATCAGGCGATGCAGAGGTAATAGGCACAGTTGTGTTCCAATACAACTTAGTTTATGTTCACTGAATTTCCAATTTCCTATAATTTTCATGTGTCACAAAGTATGACGCTTTTTTTTCCATACACATTAAAAAATGGAAAAACCATTTTTAGCTCACAGGCCTTAGAAAACCAGATGGTATGCTGGATTTGCCCGGGCCTAAATACTGGGACCTGGGTGGTCCTGTGGTATTTTCAAAATCCAGAATAGTTAATGGGGAGGAGAAGGAAAGGTCAGGAAGTTTCGATTTTGATATTGGAACAGACATAACCTATGTATTTATCTTGAATGCCACCAATATGACCAAAGTGATTCTAACATATTTAGTCAGCTTCAGTTTTGCGTTTGATTTGCAAAATGACTTTTTTTGAGGTTTAACATTATGAATGAGTCTTATTCCAAGAGTACCTACTCAGGGACCTATCCATACTTGGCATTTGTTCTAGAAAGTATGGAAACACTTCAAAACCTTCAATGTTAATTGTAGAGGGAGTTTTAGTTGAAAAGTCTATATGATTATTCACTATGTCATCTATCTCAAATATGAGATATGGATTCTTTGAATATGTTTAAATCTCTCCTGATTCAATGTATACATGTTTGTCTCAAATACCAGTAATGTTTGTATTTGGGCATTATGTGATTAAAACATTACTGTACTCTTGCAGAACTTTATCCTGGCATGGCTAAGTTATTGTTTTAGCAGTTTTTACATTACATACAGATTATATTAATTAAGTAGTTCCAGTAGTGACTAACTTTTATCCTTAGAATTAACTGGATTAATCCAATCTTTCTTGAACAATCTATCTATGTAGGCATTAACAGTTCAAGTGTCTCAGGGACAATGACTCAGAATTGGATAATCATCTAGCTATTTCCTGTTAACTGTTGAGAATGCCTTACTCATGATGCTGAGTAAGCTTTGTAGTAACAAAAAGAGACCCACTTACATCCTCGGAATAGGAAATAGATTAGTCTCCCCTGCAGTGCTGCTGCTTCCTTCACTGTCCACGCTATATCCACTGCCAAAGCTGCTGCCCGAGGAGCCGGTGGACACAGAGCTTTCTGCAGGCCGGTGATTGGGAGGCTTTGCTGCATGGTGTGGGAAGATTCAACACCACAGTCAATAAATGAAGCTGACATTGATCTACAAGTGAATAATTATATATCTTCTTAATTTACATGTAGAAAGAAACAGCTACTGAAGAACTCTACATTTTCAACCTGCCTTTTTGTTTCCTTTACTGATAATGCACAGTGGTAACAATAAATTATTTTACTGTTTTTACTGGATGTCAAGGAAAAACAATCACCTTTAGGAAAAAAATATCTAACTTTTAGACCGAGTTAAATAGTACGTAACTATTTTACTATTATTATTTTTGTGGTTTCTTCATACAGTATTGCAATAGTGATATGGTAAATAAATAAGAATTTTGGCTATTTCATGGAGAAAAGAGTTTAGAAAGACTTGGGTAGATAGAAATGGCAGGATAAAAAAATTGCTTAATATTTTTCATATTACTAGATAACAATCTGTTTTTCTTCTTAGAAACAAAGATGCAAAATAGAATTTTAAGAAGTTATTGAAAATTCTGTGTTTGTATGTGCCTCTGTCTACTATCTCCAGCAAGTTTTAAAAATTTAAGATATCTGTTCCCCTTCAGGCATTTCCTAGTTTATCCTTGAGACTTGTTTCAAAAATTTCCCAAGTTTGATATCTGAATATAAAAATACATATTACCATAGAAATGTTACAAATTTGTGCAATAAATTATGCAGTAGGGGAATAGTAGTAATATTGTTGGCAGATTTGAGAAGAAATTTTGATGCAAACAGAAGGAAGATAAGGCAAGTGTTTCCCTTATTTTTTGCTGGGGAGAATTTTCTCTATTAAGTTTTTGAAATTGTTGATATTTGTTTTCTGCCAGAAAGAGTGAACTTTTTGGTCACACTGATCTGGGTTTGAATTAAAATCTATTCTTCAGCAACTCTAAGTTGCTTTTCTCATTTGAAAACAATGGAGTCAATAATGTCTACCTTGAAAAATGCTGATTATGAGGAGTGGGATACATAGGAGTCAGTAACTCACTGTTCTTCCTCCTGTGATATTATATGCCACATCCCCACTCTTCTCAAGGGCTTTGCCATCATGGCTGTTTCTTATTGTCTCTGAACCTAAATAGTCTTTGACAATGAATTTACCTCTATTCTCTTGTAAATCTAAATGTGTTCTAACCTACAAATCTACTTAGAGTCTTTTTTCTTCATAAATGCATCCCTATTCCATGAGGAGTTATTAGCCAGTTGGATAAATTTATACTACTGGGTGAATAGTTGATAATCATTTTAGGATCCTACGATATCTACATATTTCTTAAGAATATGTATAAACACACAACGATTCTTAATCTGGTTGAATTTTAACAATATAATAACCAAATGAAGTGAAACACATAAACATTATGTGGGAAACCATTTGAGGACAGGAAATTCACCAACAGGGTAGCTAGGATCAAGTCTTGCAAAGGATTTAACTTTCCCCCCATTTCTTCACTTTCCACTTCAGCAATTGCAGATCCTCTAAAGTCACAAGGAAGTTTTGTATCTATTCCAGTGGCAGTTTGATCCCTTCCCCAGAATAGGAAAATAAGAAATAACATTTTCATAATAAGTCAATTGTGTATCAGATGTGTTTTAGTTAGAAATGGCTACTTAGAAAAAGGTGTTCCTAACTTATAGACATCTGATATACAGTTGACTAACTGAATTGAACGCTCTCAAACAGCCAGTCACCAATGGATTGCTAGTCGCCCATAAGACTACATTTGTGGAAACAGAATAGTTATGTTTCTTGAATATTTTCTTTAACTTATGTAGAAGAAACCCAGATGATGTATTTAGTGTTAAAGAAGACTTCTTAAAAGAATAATTAAAAAATATAAAGGTAATATCAGTAGGATATAAAATTATGGACATGTATAAAGTAGATTAAAATGCACAATCTATATAATGAGTCAGATCAGTCAATTGATTACAAACAAAACAAAGATGTCATACTTTTTGACTGGCATTATATAATTGAATTCATAGTTGTTAGTATGACATTGAATGGAAGACATTAATTCCATCAATTGGAAAATCACAATCTACTATTTTCAAAGAAAAACCTTAATAAACACTAATATTTAATCAATTTATATTTACTAAATTAAAATAATTTTCATTTAAGAGCAACCTCATAATGAACAAAAATAGCTATACTATAAAAAGTCTTATTATTTACATTTGAAAATAGTTCATCCTTTCTTTTGTCAACTTTGGTTTTACCTGATGCAATTTTTAGTTCTATTCCTCTTCTGGAAAAGTTGAGAAATGTGCACAGAATATAAAATAGCATAGTAAGAAGAAAGAAACAAAGCTAGAAATAAATTTCAGAAAGAACAATTTTTCTCATCTTGCCTATCTCTTTGAATAGAAATCTCATTTGGAAAGCCTGTGCAAGTGTTGTCATTATTTTAAATGCAAACAAATAACATTTTATAAGAAATACTATAAAATAAAAACAAATCCAGGGAAGATGTACTTATAATAGAACCAGTCTAACATCTCTGCAAAACAAGATTACATCTAAGGTTCTGTCTATGACAATCTTAGGCATTTAGAAGTGAGGTAAATAATTCAAATGGATCTAGATTGTCGGAGGTATCATAACAAAACATCTGGTGCTGGGTTAAATTCTGTATTCTTAACCTGGTATCTAAGTGTAGTCCAGAGATATATAGCCTGACCTTTGGTTAGTTTATGAAAAATAAATTAAATTAAAACACACAACTGATCTTTCCTTCTTACTGGGCTATATCTACATATCACAAAATGTGATAAAAAATACAGAAGTTTTGATAAGCTGGTTCTAAGAATCCATATTTTAATAGGTCTTTTCCAGATATTTGAAACATGTATTTTGCTCATTTCTTGCTCTTGAAACAGACTTCAAAAAAGAAAGCATTGATTCTTTTAAATTGAGCTAAATCTGCATAAAAGCAAACTTTTTAACAACTGAAGTGTGTTTAGGACTTTATTATCTGAGGCTGGAGCTTAGGTAATCTCAAGACATCTAATAATTCCAACGAAATTCTTTAGTTTGCCTCTCAAAAGAGTTTTTTTATTGGTCTGCTCCTTTCCAAATATATCTTGCATGATTCTCCTTCAAACACTTCACAGGAAAGCGCTCTCAGACCATTCACTCTGGCTTCCTTTGGCTTGTCTTTTTCTTTCCAACTTTATTAAGCCCTCCTTTATCCCATCACTTTCATGTATCTAAATAAAAGTTATCTGTAAATGCCTAGCTCAGAAATCACCTGCTTCATGCATTTCTCCTCATTCTCCTATTCAGAAGTACCTCTCCTAAATCTGGACTCTTGTAGCACATAATCTGTCATTATTGGAAGCAAAGCCTATGTTTTCACCTTGGTAACTTCCTTAAAAACTTGTCCTGGAACTTGTTTGAATAATATTTAATGAATAAATAATAATAACAATAGTAAATTAATAATTCTTTCCTTTAATCAATCAAAACATCTGAATGATTTAATAGATAATTTCACTTTTTAAAATCAAGTTTTCTGTTTTATACAAATAATGAATTTCTCACCCAGAAGGCCATTTGATATGGAAGTTTTTTTTCCCCATGTTCTTTGTCAAAGAAACTTTAGGGAGTCACATATATATACACATATATGTGTATACATAAAAAGTATGTATATATATATAAACCAGAGATAACTTTAATCTGTAATGAAAAATAGCAATCATTCATACTGTATAGGTGATTTTTTAAAACCCCAATCTCCCAAAACACTGGTTTAATTGAAGTAAATATTTAATGACAATACACTAAACATTGGAGATTATAGACTTGTGAACTTCAAAAAACTCATAATAGATCACAAATATTACATATATATTTAAAATGAAAACAACAAGAGAAAATAATATGTATAGTAACGTTCTGTGGGAGCCAGCACTATTATGGACTCTAGAACTTGTCCTGATCCCACATGTTGGTATGTAGATAGTCAGAGAACTCTGGGTTATATTTAAGTATAATCTCTCTCTGTTTGTCTACTTTGTTGAAGGAAATAATATTTTAAAACACTAAAACAAAGTATAATCTTCCATAATTTTATAATTTCAAAATCAACCATTTAGAAATATTCTACTTCTGCTTAATTCTTGCAACTCTTTTAATTAGAGTTTCAGAAATAATGGATGTACTATGTGTGAATGTATTATGCACCTGTGTATTAAACATGAAAAAAGTTTATATAAACATTGAGAGGCTTTTCTTAATAAAAAGATATGTCTTTGGAGTCATTTTTTTATGAATTATGTTTTTGTGTCTAGTTTCTTTTTGAAATCCTAAGTGTATTATTAAGTACCAACTACAGAAAGAGTGGATGCTATAAATATATGGTAGAATCAGCTCATTCATAGAAAGGGTCCTGTGCCCTAAAAGAATAAATCTTAGAATGTTGGATCATTTTTGTAACTCAGTTATTGAGGGGGCATTTCAGGTAAACAAATGGTACCTTCTGTGACACAAATCAAACTGTTTTAAATTATTCTTTGACCTCTTTACTTTCCTTGACTGTTAATGGTTAGACATCATTGTATTTTATTACTCCACTGTGGCTAACCTTAATTAAATATGTATTGTCTCTTTGACTGCACATCTGTCTTCAATTAGGCTTTTCCTTCCTCTACTATACAGTATTTAAATATGCAAAGTTATCACTGTACCTACCACATGGTGGCAGCACTTTGCTCTGAGAGCACAGATCAAATTGTAGGCTCAAATTTACTTTTATATCACATCCAGTTGTCTGAAATTTAAAAGTCAAGGTCTTTGCCTCTCTCACTAAATTCCAAAAATCATTCCCAAAATGCTTGGAATGTATATAGGTTGCTGTCTATGATGTTCTATTATTGGTTAGGTTGCTGTCTATGATGTTCTATTATTGGTTTTATATTTTTGGTCCAGCACAGAACTATTTCCAAATATTCTTATGTATTATATAGGTAGCTTGTAC